CTAATTGCAAACTGCTTAACTTTGTCTCATTACTTTCAGGTTTTTACATCTAAACACAAAATAAACTGCTCCAGAAAATCCAATCCGTTTTCATCTGCATGAACCTCCAGCTTTTGGTTATTATGCCAAAATTCAATACAGTGTAATTTTGAAACTAGAGGTCGAAGTTTCTGTGATTTACTCATCACATGATTTATTTTCTCTCAGGTGTAAGCTCACACAGTCACATGGGTCAACAGAAAACACGTTTGACTTTAAATTACAAAAAGACACGTTTTTCATCTAACACTGGATTAGGGCTGCACAATATATCGCAAATATATCGTTATCGCGATATCAGCATGCACAATATGCATATCGCAAAGAACAGATAAATATCGCAATGAATGGTCAGCTCAAATGTTTGCTACACGTAATGCATTCTGTCCATCAAACAGAAGCATGATGTTTTTTTAACAAATCAAATAGAGTTCTTCACCCATCTGGCCAATCGGGTGGGTTCTCATGGGTTAGACTCCCGCCCCTGAGGCGGACGGCACTTCATTTAGATGGTTAGCAAACACCTGAGTTAGCTTCGTTAGCTCTTTTTGCTGATTCTGCTTTTCCCGGGATCCACGGATTGCCTTTTCTTCATTTTATTTTCCCCTTTCCTCACATCTTTTGCTTTTCTCATTTTTATGATTTTTAAATTTCTTTGTTTTTGATTATTTTTGTTCCTGAGTTAAGTTTTTATTTATCGCAAGTAATATCGTCATCACAATATTAATCATTGTTATCGAATATTGCAGGTTTTCCTAATATCGTGCAGCCCTACACTAGATTCATTAATGAGTTGTGAACCTGTGATGTTCTGCCCCACATCCCGTCTCAGCTGCAGTAGCTTACCCATTATGTGACTTGTCTAAATGTCTGCAGCGTTATCTTGGCACACACTGGCTCAGAGGGTCGATTCCTGTCAGTGAGTCCTACTTAACCTCCCTGATTTACATGGTTATCAGAGCAGCTGGGCTGCACCGCTCCCCCACGGTCAGTGCTGACTTACATGCGTGGATTCTGAATCTCTCTCCCTCCTCGCAATGTGGTTTATGGTTGCAGAAGCTCCCATTAGCAACAGCTCATAAAATGTGCAGCTATTGCTCTGTTAAACAGTCTCAACAAGACACACAAGCCCAAGATTAACACTGTATTGTGAGTACACCTAACGCACACTCAGTGTTTGAAATTTGTATTGCCAGGCAATTTTACTTTAGTCATAATTAACAGGATGTTTTCTATGAAGACAAGGGCTACAGTATTTGTTTCAGCAACAGTGCAGTATTTCCTCTATCCTGGAGCATTTGTTGTTCTGCTAATGGAAGGTTGTTTTACATTTTTGACAGGCATCTGAGAGGATTAATGAAAATCAATTGAAAATAGGATTTTCAGACACACCACATAGGTTAAACAAGGTCGTGGTTGTTTTGGAGATTCAAGTTAATGCACAATAACCACTGTGTTACAGATCCTAAAGCCCGTGTACCGTTAGGGTATCTACATTCACCCCATGTGTCTCCAGTTTGCTTCAACAAGGTGTTTCAGTATCATAGTTGATCTTTAGTGGGGAGGGAGTGTGTGGCTCTGCTAAATTTTCCTTCTACAAATAGATATACACTGTCTCTGAGTCTGCAATTATTGTGCAGTGTTCATTCTCCACACTGGTAATGTTTTTTTCTCAGTCACTCCAGTGAAAGAGAATGCCACCAGTTTAATTAGGACTGGGATATAGTTCGTAATATGCCTGTGTGTGTGTGTGTGTGTGTGTGTGTGTGTGTGTGTGTGTGTGTGTGTGTGTGTGTGTGTGTGTGTGCGCGCGCGCGTGTGCGTGCGTGCGTGCGTGCGTGCGTGCGTGCGTGTGAATAAAGGGAAATGTGGGTTTTGTAGAAAAGCAGGTCTACTTTGCAGCTCGGAGGGATTTAACAGTTCACCCCAGATTCACCAGCATATTTTGATAACCTCCACTGATTCTCCAGATTCAGGTAATCTCAAGAGTTACGGCTTCATCCCTGGGAGATTATATACTTCTTGTAAAAGAAAACGTGAAGGAAGGTGATTTTGAGTCGTAGGGAAGAAGCTGTGATGGAAAATATGATTTCTGGTTTACATGAAAGTGCGTGCACAGGCTCAACAGTAATTTGGATGGTAAGAGATAATAAAAATGGTGACTACAACTGAACTGATGCTGCAGCAGCATCTGCACTGAAGGGCACACATGAAATATTGATTTATGACAGTAATGATTGTTGATATACAGCCTCTGCAATGAAATTTGCACTTTGCACTTCATTTATTAACGATTCTTATGTTACTTTTAATAATTTCTAATAACCTCTGAATGCAGTTAAAGGCCTAGGAGTGCATATTGCCCTCCACCTTTATGACTATATTGAGCAACAATGCAGATGTAGATGTTTTGTTCAAAATTTGAAATGAACTATTTCTGCATAAAATTTTGCTCAATATCAGTAAATGTCGGAGTTTAAAGGGGACATGTTATGCAGAGCTCACCTTTTGTGTTTCCATCTGGGTCTCTGCTGCATTTATAAACAAAGTGGCATGAAAGTGTGCTGAGAGCTAAAATGTCCATCAGAACTTGTCACTCAACGGGACATCTGGCATCAAATACAAAGCACTGGCCACGCAAATAAATAAATAAATAAAAAAATAAATAAATAAATAAAAAATAAACACTTCAGTTTTCTTACACTGAACTCATAATCACACTGACATTTCTTTATGTTACTAAACAAATTACTCTTAGGAGGCAGACACGAGCAGGGGCATCATGGGAGACTGACCTTTTTAGTTGCTGGTTCATTTTGCTGCATGGCTACATTTTCCACATTTTGCCGGGCTCAGCGCTCCGATGTGGGGCTCATTCTGTTAACTCCTAAGAATAAAATTTACCCACGCTGTGGTCTTTCTTGACCACTTCCTCTTTGTAAATGTGTGATTATTGTGAGTAACGAGCTCTCCTCTTCTTCTATGGCTTTTGTGAGTAAACAGCACTCTTGTGCCCTCTTGTGGCACTGTTGAAGAAGATGTTGTCATAGACATGAATACGTAGACGCCCCATTCGGCGCTGGTCAGTGTGATATCGTCACAGCCATATTGGATGGGGTCTCCTCACACTCCAATGTCAATGCAGAGTGAGCAACTTTGCCCATTTTTGTGCAGCCTACGGTCACGGTAACCGGCGTACAATTGAAAACAGATCACATGGGATTACTATTGACTTTTCTAGCCTACCTGATGGGATTTTATATTGTACTTTAATTTATATTGTTTAGTTATATTTCTATTTTAATAATCATGCCATACAATGTGTATTAATTTGTAAAGAAGCTTGCTAAAATGTGTTTTTTGTTGGGTAAGCACCTTCCTCAGTAAAAATTAATGCACTGGGGGCGAATGGTGACCCATCTAAGATGGCAGCCGGCCACTACAACAGGTCCAATAGGCAGCGCCAGTATACGCAACGTATACTAATAAGATTCTGTGGTTGCTGTTGCTGTGGGGAATTTACTTCATGATTCCCAGTGTGCTTGGCAGCATGTAGGTGTGGTGTAGCTGAACTGTAAGAGAGAGGAAACTGTCTGTTCTTGACCCAACTCGTGAAATTATCATTATCAATGCTGACTCAACACATTCAACTGTGACCTTATAACACACAAGCGCAGTTCAGTGACATGAACAAAAATTAACCGGGTAATGTTAATGTAACCGGTTATGACCTTTACAGCAGTTTACCGGTTAACTATGTACATCCCTACTGTCTCTATAAACACTCCAAATGTAAAAATAAACTGTCCAGTACTTTTCTGTTAGTGTTTTGTTGTATTATTAAATAAAAATATGTTATTATAGTATTAAAACAGCTGAAATTGCTTTATGATTTAGTGAGAACTTAAACATGTTCTGTCTCTACCATAGAACTATTGTAACTTAAGAAGAAACATTATGGTATGTCCCCTGTAATCCATTGTTGTGTTGCGATTAATTAGCAATGATGAATGGGGTTGACTCCACAAGTTAATCAGGTGTTGATGTACATCCATTGATTTTTTTTTTCATTTTACATTGTAATAAAGCCCCAGAGAAAGCAGCACACAAACTTTATTACTCATCAGTGAAAGAGACCGATATTTATAATAGATTAAGCTAAAGCTCTTCTAAAAGTTGACCTCTGGTTTTACCAGGTCCTCTAGATAAACAATTAGCTTTGTGAAGCATCTGAAACATGACACACGTTTTTGTGTACACTCTTACAAACAAAGGGTCCCATCTGGCTTGTTTTTACTGCAGGATGCAAATCAAAGAAGCCAGTTACACCTGCTCCTCTACTTATCTCCTTAGTTCACCATCCATCTTTGATTTTTGCCTCGAACCACACAACCATTTTTGTCCTTATCTGTTTTTAAAGACTATACTATTCCCATCACCGTCCCCTGGCGTTATCCATTCCATCTTGCTTCCTCTGGCAAGCTCCTTCTATTTTCAGTCATTTACACCCCCTCTCCATGTGCTTCCCCCATTTGATGCTTCACACCTGGTGTCTTTCTCCAATGGTTTTCCTCATATGCCTCCCGGTGTGAAGGAAAGAGAACAAATTACAAAGACAGAAGAGCTGACATGAATTCCCTAGGCCAAAGTGTCTGACTGAATTAGGACAGACGGAGAGGATATGAGGATGCTGGTGGGATGGATCCCTGCTAGCTGTGTGTACATGTGCACATCTGTCTGAGTTGGTGAGCTTTTATAGATTTCTAATCCATAAATGAGGTTTATGCTGTGTAAGCGAAAAAGCAACACTTAAGGCACAAAAAAACTGCTGTGTTTTTTTTCTATTCGGCTGTTGCTTTCATTCTTTCTTTTTAATGTGAGCAGAAAAATATATAAACTAATCAGAATGAATAAAGCTTAGATTACAAATAGAAATTTCCTTGTGTTTATTTGTCTTCCAGAGGTCCTTTCGTTCCTTTAGTAACGATGACCGCCACGTCATGACGAAGCACTCCACTATCTACCCCTCCTCGCAGGAGCTTGAAGCCGTCCAGACTCTGGTGTCCACAGTCGAGTGCGCCCTCAAACATGTCTCTGATTGGCTGGATCAGAGCAGCGGAAACATCCACAACAACTTTGATAGCCAAGCGGCAGACAGACCAGAGGAGGATGACCCTGGAGACGAGCACCATGAAGATACTGAAGAATCCAGCGGCAGCTACAGGTAAACCATGATGCACGCTTTGACATGTTTTGGTGGATCTGTGTAATAACGTCGTCTCTGATTTGGGAGAGCAACTTTTCTCAGTGTTTTTTTTTCTTTAATTCATCATTCACCAGAATATCAAGAACACAAGACCCAAACGAGGAGAGGAAATGAGCTAGCATTAGCTCCACTTTCACCTTCTGCTAACGCTTCCACATGAAGGCATGTTTACAGGAAATGATCTATATTTATAAGGATTGAAACCACTCACTATCATGATATAGGGAGTTTATCAGACATTTCTACCCAGCATCTAATATTAGTAACTCAAAGAGTTTCTGCGACAGCATAAATAACATTTTCCAAGTGTCCTGTGCTTTCATGTCAGACTGATAGACTCTCACTGCAACCTGGTTTAGGTGATAGTGGCCAAAATACAAGAAGGGTTGTGAGTGATGTCATAATTTATCGATGGCACAAATAAAGGAGTGAGGACAATTATTGCAACAATTCGATACTGTCCTAGTTTAAAGGCATGTGGATTACATAACGTATAACATCAACTATGCAGACTTTTAAAAATGACTTTCACTTTAATTTAATCTGGTTTTTTCTTCTCATCAGTTCACTCAACTAAAATGAATAAAAGAGTTAAATTTGGCTTACTAATAAGAAAAGAAAACTATTATCACTCCCCAGAGGGAGATCAGTTAGCTCACTGACTTGTGTTTGTACCTCGCAGAAGAATGAAGTATTAAGTTCAGATGGATAACAAACTTCTCTACAGAAGATGCTGCTGCAGCAGGAATGATCTTGCTCTTTGTTATCCTCAGGACACCAACCGTCTCCATGGCTGAATATTTTCACAGATCTTTTAGTCTGAGGTTTTTTATGTTAACTGCAGCGATAAGTTGAAAAGTAATTTACTGTGTTCATTGTCCTTTAATGTGATAATGGAATTCTGGAACTGAGCTGCTCTGGGTGGCTGCATGTTGGAGTAGCTCTGTTGACTATACGTAAGTTTTGCCCTTTTTTGGACATTTTTTCTTCTAGTTTCCCAAGAAAAACAGTATTTTTTGAAAATTTTCTTTTCTGTTTCTGGTGCTGTGAAGCTTAGAAAATCTTTACAGCACTTTTTTCACTTTTTAAGCATTTGTTATGATGCGTAACCATGGCAACAAGCTGGGAGCAGCTGATTAACATTGGAAAGGCTGAAATAATACCTCAACTGAAGCAAAATCCCAAAAGAGCATAAAACGCAAGAAGCGTGGGTGCAGAGCGGAAGCAAAACGGAGACAGAGAAAGAGGAAATTCAAACCATCTCTTCCATCAATCATAATGGGCAATGTGAGATCACTGACCAACAAAATGGATGAACTCCAAGCCCTTTCAAGGACTCAGCCAGAGTATCGGCAGTGTAGTGTTATGTGTTTCACTGAGACCATATCCCCGATTCCAGCGTCTCTCTGCCAGGATTCCTGACTGTACGACCAGACAGATCTGAAGAGGAGCAAGAAAAGAAAGGAGGTGGAGTGGCAGTGCTTGTCAACAACAGATGGTGCCATCCATGTCATGTTTCAGTGAAATGTTGTCTCTGCAGCCCAGATGTTGAACTCTTGCCAGTAAGTTGTCGCACATATTATTTGCCAAGAGAGTTCACCAGTGTTGTCTTGGCAACTGTTTATATTCCACCTTCAGCCATTGCTGAAAGTGCATGTGATGCCATCACTTGTGTTGCCGCTAAGCTACAAACCCAGCACCCCAATGCATTTGTGGCTATATCTGGTGATTTGAATCATGCCTCGCTCTCTGCTACACTTCCAACATTTCATCAGTTTGTCAGCTGCTTCACCAGAGAAAACAAGACATTGGATTTGTGTTGTGCAAATGTAAAGAATGCATACTTGTCCAAAATTAGACCTCCTCTGGGACAATCGGATCACAATCTTGTTTTTCTCTGCTCAGAATACAAACCACTTGTCCAGAGGCAGCCTGTGACAAGAAGAACTGTGAGAAAATGGTCACAGGATGCTGAAGAAGCCCTGCAGGGTTGTTTTGAGACCATAGATTGGATGACTCTCTGCCAAGGATATGAAGACGACATCAGTGCCATGACTGGATGTGTCACTGACTATATAAACTTCTGTGTGGACAACATCTTACCCACCAGAACGGTGAGATGCTTTGCCAATAACAAACCCTGGATCACCAGTTAACTGAAGAATCTGCTAAATGAGAAAAAAAGGAGGGAGACGGGGAATTATTGAGGAGTATACAGAAGCAACTGAAGATCAAGATCAGAGACAGCAAGGAGGCATACATGAAGAAGCTGGAGAACAAACTAGAGAGGTACAATATCAGAGATGTCTGGTCAGGGATGAAGAAGATCACAGGCTTCAAGCAGAGGAAGGATTGCACGGATGGCAGCCTGGACACAGCCAATGAACTGAACAAGTTGTTCAATAGGTTCAGTTCAGGAACAAACCCAGCATCCTCCTCGCCTGTCCCCAGCCAATCAGACATCCTATCCTCCTCTGATCCAACATTTTCCTGTCACACGCTAGCTCTTTTGTCCTCTAATGCAGTCATGGACTCTTCTGGTTCTATAAACCTGTCTTCAACCAAGTCAGGAAATGCTGCTGCCCAATTTACCTCCCCTTCTCACCTATTTGTCTCTAGAAGTCAGCTGGAGAGACTGAACAGGAACAAGGCTGCAGGTCCAGATGGTGTCAGCCCCAGAGTACTGAAGGCCTGTGCAGAGCAGCTCTGTGGGATTCTGCAGCACCTCTTCAACCTCAGCCTGGCCCAGGAGAAGGTTCCAGTCCTGTGGAAGACAGTTCCAGTTCCAAAGAAAACTTGCCCATCAGTCAATGACGACTACAGACCGGTTGCCCTGATATCCCACATCATGAAGGTCCTGGAGAGACTCCTGTTGATCCACCTGAATAAGCAAACAAGGACATATCAGGACCCGCTGCAGTTTGCTTATCACCATGGAGTTGGAGTTGAAGATGCCATCATCCAGCTGCTTCAACCAACCCACTGTCATCTGGACAAAGCAGGCAGCACTGTGAGGGTCATGTTCTTTCATTTCTCCAGTGCATTTAACACAATCCAGCCTGATGTACTTTGCCAGAAACTCCAGAAGACACAGGTGGGGGGCTCAACCATCATCTGGATTAAACACTACCTGACAAACAGACCACAATTTGTGAGGCTAAAGAACTGCATGTTAAACCAGGCGATCAGTAACATAGGAGCACCACAGGGGACTGTACTCTCACCATTCCTTTTCACCTTGTACACCTCAGACTTCCAGTACAAATCAGACCTGTCATCTACAGAAATACTCAGATGACTGCAGTTGTCGGGTGTATCAGAGATGGACAGGAAGCTAAGTACAGAGAGTTGGTGGAGCGCTTTGTGGCATGGTGTGAAAGCAATCATCTGACCTTGAACATGAACAAAACAAAGGAGATGATTTTAGACTTCAGAAGAAACAGGGTGGAGTCAAACACTGTTTCCATCATGGGACAAGAAGTGGAGGTGGTTGAGGAATACAAATACCTTGGTGTTCACCTGGACAACAGACTGAACTGGAGAAAGAACAGCGAAGCTATTTACAAGAAGGGACACAGCAGACTGCACTTCTTGAGGATGCTTAGGTCCTTCAATGTCTGTAGCAAGATGCTGCACATCTTCTACAAGTCTGTTGTTGAGAGTGTAATGTCTTCAGCCATCGTCTGTTGGGGTAGTAGCATCAGAAGCAGGGACCTGAAAAGGCTCAACAACCTAATAAAAAAGGCTGGTTCTGTTCTGGGGATGACTGTGGAACCACTGGAGGAGATAATGCAAAGAAGGATTCTCCAGAGAATGAAGAAATTATGGACAACCCTGAGCATTCTCTTCACAAGACTGTCTGACAACGTAAGAGTGTCTTCAGTCAGAGGCTTCTTCAGTTTCGCTGCAACACTGACCGCTACTGGAGATCCTTCCTGCCAACAGCCATTGTAATATACAATAACTCTTTGACGCCTTGATTATTCTTTTTATTCTGAGCTATTACAGCAATCAATTTCCCTTTGGGATTAATAAAGTATTTTTGAATTTGAATTGAATTTGAATTGAATTGAACATTTTGTTTGGACTTAAATATCTATAGTGATCTGACAAAAGAGATTTGTACCGTTGTGTTTTATTCTTAAGCAACATTGTACATTTATTGTAAACAACGGGAGACCAATCTAAATTTTTCTGATTAAACAGGGAATCCAGCGGTGGGGGTGTGCTTTGTGGAGTGATGAGGGTCGGTCTGGTGGCCAAAGGACTCCTGATCAAAGGAGACATGGACCTGGAGCTGGTGCTGATGTGCAGAGACAAACCCACACAGACGCTGCTGGACACTGTCTGTCAAAATTTACCCACACAGATCCAGGTTAGACATACACACACACACACACACACACACATGCACACGCACACAAACACACACACACACTGCCTCTCTTGTGTTTTCTTTCCAATATTTGGCCACAAAGATGCTTTTAACAGACACACATTAGAATGTTATGAATGGTAGTATGGTATTGTTCAATCTTGTCTATTTACTGGTGCTGTCAGTGTGTGTGTGTGTGTGTGTGTGTGTGTGTGTGTGTGTGTGTGTGTGTGTGTGTGTGTGTGTGTGTGTGTGTGTGTGTGTGTGTGTGTGTGTGTGTGTGTGTGTGTGTGTGTATTAGCATGAGCGTAGGCAGACAAAAGACTGCAGTATCATCTACTGTGAGGCTGAGGTGTCATGTGCGTGTTTCACATTTCCTCATTAAGAAGTCGTGAAGAGAAGAGACCCTGACATTCATTCAGAACAGAATAAACACTGAAGATGCTTTTCATATCTCTCTCTCTCTCTCTCTCTCTCTCTCTCTCTCTCTCTCTCTCTCTCTCTCTTTCTCTCTCTCTCTCTCTCTCTCTCTCTCTCTCTCTCTCTCTCTCTCTCTCTCTCTCTCTCTCTCTCTCTCTCTCTCTCTCTCTCTCTCTCTTCTATGCTCTGTTATGAATTGAATTTTAATAGAAAAAATGATATTTTCCTAGATGTTAAATCCTCTAACTTGAGCACTGCAGCCCAATTCCTCAAACATCTGTTTGCAAGTAAAACATGTAGCAGTAATTACAAACACTTTTCTACTCTTCTATTTCAGCCTTTTGTCTTTTTCTTGATTTGTAGAACGTGGGAACATAAAAGTAATTTTTGAGATTTACATTTTCTTCCTGAAATCAAATGACTTTTATAAAAAAAAATTCACTCACTCTTCATTTTACCAACGTCTGAACAAAAAGGTCCTTTTGTCTTTGTTCAGATTTAGTCTACGAACTGTGGGTTAGAAAAATCTAACAAATAAAACTGTAGTTTAGACAGAACGCGCTGCATTTAAACAGATAAATAATTGTGCAAATAAATGTGTGACAGTACACCTTAGATTAAATGTATTGTATTATGTATACATTAGTGTCTGCAGGTATCATTTTAATAAGTGTCTAAGCATTTTATTGAGATCTTTATAAAATTGTTTTCTAATAGATTGGCTGTTTAGCTTTTTTTAAGGTGTGGAACACCCGTTTAATCAATACATTTTCAGTGGTCTCTACTAGGAATGAATGCCTTGTAAGTCATACTCTGGGGGGAAAAAATACACCAGTGCACCATTTCCAGGAGCTACAAGTGAGCCACATCACAGCTGAGCTAAGTTCAGACGGAAGGGTTTGGAGTCTTATTTCCTGGTATTTTGACATTTCACCTCGGATTGGATAACAGCAACACAACTCTTCTGCCTCGTTTGCTCTGCAACGTTGATGTTTTATCTCCACACAAGCCTGGAGGCGTTCTACTGTGTGGTGGTGTTGCTAATGCTAATGGTTAGCTTCTACTAGCCAAGACGTGCTCTGCTGATTCCTGGATGCTAAACCAAAAACAGCCTTCCCCATCACAAGTCGAGATGGGTGAGTCCATGAACATTAAGTGACCGTGTGAGGTAGATCTGTCAGGATTTTCTAATCCTAGAGTTTCACTGTCTATTTTCTATCAGAAGCTAATGCAGGAGATAGGTGTAGGAGAATATTTTCATGTTCAGCCTGCATGACAAATTCAGAATGATCAACTATAATCTAGTGTTGTCAAAAAAATCGATACCTAGATATAAATCGACGCTAAAAGTGGTATCTAAATTAGATATTCCATCCCTGTGGTATCGATATTATGGACTATTATACACAGCCTTCTTCAAGTACACCGACACGCACGACAGCCAGATGCCGTAAAGCAGCCTCCGCCTCCCAGACAAACAGAAGAAGACGCCGCATGGCTACATTGCAATTTCCCACGCGAGTTGTCTCCGATCCAAATTTTGTCTGCCAAATAAATAAACAAAAACATAAACAGCGAATTTGGGAGGAGCTTCACAGCCCAACTTAATTAGCATACCAAGTCCGATACGTAGTTGTATAGTCACGCTTATGTGCTTAAAGGAAAACTCCCGTTTATTGCAACCCGGATTTAATTTCTAGCATGCAGTACGTTTGTTTACTCACGCTGACAACTTTGGTGCTACTTGGATTCCCCGGGGTATTTAGATCCATCGGCAAATCGCCATCAGCGTATATCCATATAACGGGTGCGGACGGGCACCCATGGTGCAGCCTCGAAATAAGACATTATCTGCACCAAACATCTCAATGTCGAAAGGTTTTGTTAGGAATCATTAACATGATTCCCCTGTTCGTTTTGAGCGAGTCTGGGATTTCTAGGCGTAAACAGACTAGCTGCTGCTAATCTAACCGGCGCTTTTAATGACGTCACTGCCGTGCGCCAATCTGTTTTTATTAAGATTACCGGTAGATGTACCTTTGTCCTACTGTGGAGAAATTTGTTTTTTCCCTTTATTGACCAACAGAGTTGTTCAAAAGTACAGAACAAAACATATGGCATTACATCTTATGACAAAAATGCACCATAAACAGAGTTTAAGCAGCAAAACATCACTCTGCAAATAGTGTATATATAGTGAAACAATTCATGATTTAAAGTGTTAACTTTTGCCAGTTTTTGTATGCACGTTTTAAAAAATGCTGGTACTTGAAAGGTTTAAGCACTTTATACACTTAATTCTTAACATTTAATTTTTGCAATATAAATTGAGGAATGTTATTTTTTGAATAAACTTGTTCAATAAATTGGCGTTTTTAAATAGTATCAAAATCGAGTATCGAGTTTTTTTCCCCAGTATCGAATCGAGTTTGAAATTTTAGCATCGTGACAACCCTACTATAATCAAAAATAAGATTTAAAAATGGTTTTTCAGCGTTCCACACCTTAAATAAGACCTAAAATGAGTTCATGCTTTCACTCCCATTGGAGACACATTTGTCCTGTTCACACGACTAAATAAGTGATTCCTTTTGTCCCTGTGTAACTTTTGTTGAGTATAATTTTTTTGTGGGGGGGGGATTTAGCTGCTTCTGGAAGCTGATCGATATAAGTTGTGACCTCGGCTCGTGATCGTTTGGCCTGTGTCTGTTAACGCTCTGCAGAAGCTGACAGAGGAGAAATACGAGGTCACGAGCTCTTCGCCCGAGGCGGCCATTCTGGTTCAGACTACGGCAGAGCCCAAACTCACTCTGAAGATTGCACTCACCTCGCCAACAATGAGGGAGGATGATTATCAGGAAGAAGAGGAGGAGGAGGAAGAAGAAGTAGAGGAGCTTGAGAATGGAGAGGAAGAAGGGGGGGTGGAAGAGGTGGCAGAGGAGGAAGAAGAGGAAGAAGAGGAGGAGCCGGGGAAAGAAAACGGTCAAGGTAGGATTTGCTGAGATGGGGAGGCATCGAAGTTCTCTGTTTCTTTAGAAAAGCTAGAGAACACAGTGTTTTTCTTTTTTACCTTAATTGTTCTTGTTCTGAAACACGAGGTTTGACCTCATTAATTGATGATGACACAAGACAAGACAGGAACAGGCAGAGGTGGACCGATTAGCCCCACAGGACACGCGGCGCTACCGAGACACCATAAAAGCAGCATAGATCATGTACGGTTTTAACAAAATACTTAAAACAGCAGCTCTTCAAATACAAACTAAAGCATCCACACTTTTGTTTCTTTTATGACACAAGGACAAATATTATTGTTTAGCAAATATCAATAAGTTAGACAATCTGATGTCTCTTTTTATATATTTATTATGGATAAAGCATGATTAAGTAAGACCCTCCCACCATTATCTGAAGGTAATATTTACATATTCTAAGACAAAAATCACCATGTTTCTCCATGCAGTTGTTAAAGCAATGATGCCAGTCATGGTCAGGTGATGGTTTAAGCAGATAGTCGTATTGGTGAGAGAAAACCGTGACCTAGGCCCGGCTGTTTTCTGTCATTGATTTGTATTTTTGACAATATCAAAGTAATTCCACCAAAATGTGATGACACAGAGATAGATGACATAATCACCGGGCCTTTCTTATTGAATGTGTAGAGGACCTTTGCCGTAACTGACATCTTCTGTATGTTACGTCCCCGACAGGAGGTGTTAAAATGTGAAGGAGGGGGCAACATAAGAAATGCGACAGTGGAGTTAAAATGGGTTTAACTGTTATAAAAGGTTCTAAAAACAAGTGCAAACAGATGGGAGCGTTATTAAGATAATGCAAAACAAAAAAACTCTCAAAAAGTTTAACATTAAAAGAGCAGTTACCAACATTAAAAACACCTGGTTAAAACTTATGTTAAAAGTTTTACCGGAACAGAAGGTGTTTTAAAAAACCAAAGTCAATAAAATTGTATCACAGAGTTAACCTTTAAAATGATCCCTCGGGATCACTCGGAGTTAAAACTATAAACGTTAAAACTACTACTCAAAGGGGTTGAAAACAAACTGAGGCCTGGAGGACAGCAGAACCCCTGCACTGCTGTCTCCCAGACAGCTGAAGGCACAGCCTTTTTATCCAGGTGTTGGTCATCAGCAGGATTCAGATCAGCTGTGCTCCTCAGCAGCCTGGAAGAGGGGAGGAGGAGAGGCGGTGTCAGGCTGATCACCGGGGCTGGGTGATCCTGGCTCCTGCATCCCAATGGCCAGGCTGGTAGCCGTAACATGTAAATAAAACTGCTTTGTAATGGTGACAGCAAAAAGTTAATACCAGCAGCAGTTATTCTACGCCGCTGTAACAAGATATTCACTTATGTTCTTAACCATAATATTGACAGCTTAAGTGCTGATGCGAAGCTAAATTAAGGAGTATCATGATGTCAGTCTGTCCTTGCTTTTGATAACTTTGTTTTGCCTTCGTAAACGACTAGACATCAGCCCTGAGCACGTCCAAGCCGAGTGTTCTCAGTCACGGAAAGAGTTTAACACAGGAGCCCAGCTCTCTGCCAGTTTAGAGTGAACTCTCCCATGTGCTAACCCTGCTAACTACCCTATGTGGCCGAATGCCAGCATGGTCAGAGGAGTGCGGCGAAGCTTAAAACCCAAACTGCAAAAGTGGAAAAGGAAACCCACCGAGGCCGAGGAGGTTTTGTGTCATTAGGAGCTCTCACTGCTCTCAACCAGGGAGATGAAATAGACTGTAAAACCAGCAGATCACCAGTCTCTTAACAAGGAGTGAATAAAATATCATTTAGTTTTTACAGCTTATTGAATCTGTAGGAATCCTGTCATTAAAGCCAAACATCAGCACATGTAATGGACTACGTTCAGAGTTAAACAGAATAATCTGGTCTTTGGTCCGCCAACGGTCCCTGCTCATTCTCCGTGGTTAGCGGAGGCTGGTTATAATTAGTTTGTGTGCAGCTTGGGAAAGCAAGGCCAGCAGGCCGGTGAAATCAATAAGTGAGAAGCAGCAAGCTGCCCATCCATCCTGTGGCTCCTGTCCAACTAGACACCCGCCTCTGGGAGAAGGATGAGAGATGGCACTAAGGTTAGCTGTACATCATTTCTCAAGCCTCGGTAATATGGAGGCCGTCGCTCCTATTTTCCCTCATACACACCAGTCATAAAGAGGGGAAAACACACGCACACCAACACACACACACAGGGTCATATTTTGTAGCTGATTGCTAAGCAAACATCTAATCACTCAGATTTATTGTGGTCGTATTTTAAGAGTTAACATCCGATATTTTCTCATACATGCATACATACATACATACTGCAGCTCTGGATACTCCTCCATTTCAACTCCCAGACGGCTGCGACCCTCTCCACACTGAGTGGATCTCCTTTTGTTGGTGTTAAGAAGCAGGTTTTTGGCTCTACTACCTCCATACCTGTACCCTCACCTCCTCACCCATCATCTGTCCACCCACAGTGGTTTCATCCATGGACTTTTGTGGCTTTGTTGCTTTGGGTGTGCAGAAGTTCGAGCAGAAGAGCAAGCTCAGCATACCACTCTGTGGGGAGCCTGCGCTGTGCTGATGTGGTAGCCTGCTCAAACTGCTAAGAGCGTCTTGTCTGAGATCCAGGAGGGTGGAAGCCCTCTGACAGCTTGGAGACCTGTCTCTGTGGGAGGATGGAGTGAATGCTAAGCTGTAATCCACAGCCTGGTGCAGGGCTCCTTCTGCTCCAGGTGGGTCCGAGTTGGATGGAGACAGTAGTTGCACCGTCCTCAGTGGATTTGTTTGCTTCGTAGGCAAACTGGTGTGGGTCCAGGTCAGCTGACTCTTGTAGCTATTGTGCCAGATCTCTATAGCTGCATTATGTCTTTCCTTTAACAGTTCCTGGACCTATTCTGTCAATTACAATCCCTTTTAACAAGACACACTGTCTGCAAGTCAGCGTAATATTACCGCAACAGTGTGTCTTATAAACGCGGCATGGCAATGAGCAAATTTAGCTGCATTAGTTCCACCTCACCTGGTAGTAATATTCCGATAATTGTGTATCTGACCAGTTATAAAAGACCTAAGGCTCTCTGATGCCACTTCAGCATTGTGGCAAATTGGTGGCATTGTTTTGTAGAAACAGCTACAGGCTTTAGTTGAGATGGAAGCAGACCACCTTCTCTAAGTGAGAATGTGCAGAACCTGATATAGTCCAGGATCACCATTGTGTGGTTCCCCAGGTCCTGTTGTTTTGTTTTTGGAAGCAGTGCTAAAGCTGAGGTCATGAGTGTTGATTTTTCCACAGTCAGAGTGACGTTAGGAGCTTGTTTTTTGAGTGGGTGTATGCAGGAGTGGTTATATGCAGAGGCAGAAACAAGTGATCAGACTGAAAGGTGTGCATGGGGCTTGGTCCTATAGCCCTGTTTGATGTTGGTGCACGTTTCTGTCTAGTAACTGAAAGTGTTGGTGGAGCTGTTTCAAAGTCTACCTGGTTCAAGTCCTCATCTAGGACATGAGCTGCCTCTGGGTACCCCTACCTCCAGAGCCACATTATCAGCTAGCAGCACAACGGTGACTTTCCCTGGGAGATCACGGTCTGCATTTAATGGTTAAAGGTTCCAGGTCTGTGGCGCGTTGGTTGACGATGTTTGAGCACCAGCTGATTAAATAAATGCAAAAACCTCCTCGGCCATTTCCAGGAACGTCTTTCCTATCCTGCTGGTAGACTGCGCAGCATGCTAGCTCTATCACTGCATCTGGAATGAGAGGTGGGAGTTTCATACAATAGAAGCTCAAACAAACAATAACAAACATGAACAAGTTAGCTAGAGAACAGAGACACTCAACCCTAGAATGTTCAATAAATACAAGAACACTCAGACTCAACGTCAATGTTTTACCAGACATTTAAAAACATTTGCTTGAGTGGACACTTGTTTTAGGTAATGGGACATCCTGTTTTCAGGCAATTTAAGACTGTTTTTCCTTTAGTATCAGTCACCTTAAGAAAACAGGTTTCAAGTGTTGATGTTAAAGTGCTTCTTATACATTGTTCAGGTGTCATGTGGTATACCGTCACTGGGTCTGGGAAGGACAGAAAATTAGAGGAGACCTGATAGAAAAGGGACATTTTTAATAGGAAAGAGGGACCGGAAGGCACCAGAAACATGCTGGGTTACAATGATAAAAGAGCCAGCAGAGAGTTTCCAAGGAGTTTTAGCAGGGAGATTATAATGATCCAGTAGCAGCAGAGCAGCCCAACGTGCAGCTGGGACCATCTGCTATAAACGAGAAAAGGATTGGATAAGATCAGATAGGCGTTCTTCTGATGCTGCACATAAAATTAATATGAAATGTAAACAGCCTCCATATTAAAAAAAAACCATATCAAAATAAATAATTTTTTGAAGCAACGAGTGAAATATCTCTGTGGATGTGTTTCTAGAAACCCAAACGGCTCGTGTGGCTTCTCCGTGTTACCCGAGTCCTTCCTACAGGGCCGTGTTTGGGTCTAGCTGCCCTGCTGAAGCCACCCCGAGTGTGTAGTAGAAAAGCTGGAGCAGCACGAGCGCACTCAAATAAACATACAATTACACACTTGTACCCATCACACTACTCTGACTAAACCCTGCCTTCATCCCTCTTGTGTTGTGCTTCTCTCAGATCAGTTTTTAATTTTAATTTTTTTTAAGTACATTTTTTAGCTGCACTTTAGGAGCGCTTGAATCTGTTTCGCTCTAAGAGGTTGTTTTGTGTTCCTCTGTTTTTATTATCCTCTGAAATCAAGTGCACTTAAGTAATCCAGATGAACACACGAGCTGCTGTTTTGACTCCTGCCTGGTGCAGTCTGGATCAAAATTCTCTTCAAATACATAAAGGAGAGATTGATTTACCTTTGCTGGGCACCGGCCCCCGCAGTGCCCACCTCACAGTAAATCAAACGCTCCTTAGGTATTTGTTTAGTGTTTGTCTGTGGGGAGCCCTCCATCCCACAAGTTGCTTCTTTTCTCGTGACACTTGTCGCTCTCCGTTTCACGGATTTGTCTGTACCTGGATGAATGCAAACCGCTCCAGCACCTGGACCCGGGGCATCGATGTTTGATGCAGATAAACGAATGAGCCCATTGAAATTGTGACCAGCATTCATCACAGATCTGTGAACTGTACAGAGAGTGAGCACTTTCCCACAGGAGAGTTCAACTTTATGGCATGAAAAGCACCTTTTATGTACAAAACAATATATTCATGCACGTGTGTATATTTGCGTGTGTGTATGTATGCTTTCATGCGCACTTTCAAAGCATATCTGTGTACATTCACACACATGCAAATCTTCAAACACACACACTCAGACATGATGTGTGTGTGTTTTACCTTCTCTATATCGGGTTGTTGTTGTTTTGTGGCAGTGTTGGGTGCTGCTGCGCAGAGAGTGGAGGCTGAGGAGGAGGAGGAGGGGGAGGTGCTGGATAGACACAGATGTCTGTTGGCCCTGGCAGCGCTGCGACACGCCAAATGGTTTCAGGTCGGCACCCACTCACTTCCTGTCTTTGTGCCCGATGCTTATTGTAGCCTGACGATTCGTCCTGAGAGGATGGAGCCGCTGTGTGCTCATCATGTGGTGATCCCTGTGAACAACTCAAACATTTTTGATATTTTTTGATAAAGAATTAGATTAAAAATGAAATTCAAATGTGTCGTAAGGCTACAAAAGCAATAGTTTATACTTGTTTTTCTTTTGGGCCATTGTGTGAACCTGCCTGCTTTTTATAGTATGTCAGACCTTCCCTCTGATTCTCCTCCCATACCCCTACCCATCTATCTTCCACCATACTGAAAAAAAAAAAACACTTCTACATGAATATGTCCTGTTGGTGGGCTGAAGGCGTCTCATTCAATCAGTTTGTGTTTTCAAAATACGTTTGTCCTCCTGTGCTCAGTTAGTTTTTCTTTCTGCTTGATTTTTTTTCCTTCCCACCTTCCTCCATCTTTTCCTCCTCATCCCTCCATCTCCCAGGCTCGAGTGAACGGACTTAAGTCCTGTGTAATTGTCCTCAGGATACTTAGAGACATGTGCAATAGACACCCTGTCTGGGAACCTCTCAAAGGATGGGTGAGTCTTTTAAACATGATTATGTCTAATTGTTTAAACGATGAGAAATGGTTCAGCTGCTGTGAATATCTGTAGATTGGTTCAGTCAGTCAAGCTGTGTTTACTCTGCAACACAAACAAGGTGCTTTACAGCAAACAAAGCAGAAAACAGGAGAAACATTGAACAGTACTAACAGTTTTATCAGAGATTAGAGATGCACTGATGTTGGCTCGAAGGGCCCGTATGGATTTCTGCCGATACCGATTTATTTCAAATAACTTTTATTAACAAAAGACTTTTTGTCCTCCCTGCTTCGCTTAAATGTAAAAATTAGCACAAGAAACTTCTGTTACCACTGGCGTGAATGTTGGCTGCATCGCTATTGAAGAACCAAAAGATTAGAAGCAGCACAATTTTATTGTTGAAGAAATGCCAGAGGCCCAAACTTAAAGCACTAAAGCTAATAAACAAGTTCTGATATCAAAAGATGCTGAAACATATCAGATGTTCCACAGTTTAAGGTGGAATGTCTAACAGAATAGTTTTATGAACATTAGATATAATAAATAGGTAAAACCTGAGGTTAAAAAAGACATATTGGTAACATGTTAGTGTATTTGATTAGTGATTGCATGATTTTTTTAGCCTGCTGCTTTAATACATCTGTTTTTTTTACTATTAATCAAGTCTGATTGCACTTTGTGACGTTGTCTGTTCATTTTGATTTTCAAGCGTACTGTTCAGCCTTAAAGGCCCAATAAACAAAGTTAAACGTAACTAACTGATTGCATCAGTTATTTGCATTTTTAGTAATAACATTAGATTGATATAGCACCCAAATCCCTTTACATGAGTCCAGTATTCATTCACTCACTCGTCCATGCTCAGGTGGTGTTCATGGTACCTGACAGAAGTAGAACAAATGAGCTGGTATTGAACTGGCAACCCTCTGATTACCTGCTGACCCACCCAGTGTTGTGATAATGTTATTGATAGGCAGATTAGTGGGTTTTGGTATTTGCTGGTATTATTAGCTTATACCAGCAGTCAAGACCTTTAACTATCCTTGCACCTGTCTGTATTTTGTGATGCGTTCTTATTTTTGCAGCCGTTGGAGCTCATTTGTGAGAAGGCCATCGCTACCTGCAACAGACCTCTCGGGGCGGGAGAAGCTCTGCGCCGTGTCATTGAGTGTCTGGCCTCAGGCATCCTGCTCCCAGGTACCAAACCAAGGTTTTAGAGTTGAACAATCTGCATGGGTGTCGTTGTGCATGTTCTCCGATAGTGAATGTGTTCGGCGCTGGGTAGATGAGCAAACGGTCTGGCACATTTCTGAGCCACGAAGGTCGAGGCATTGTCAATGACCTTGCAGAGAGCAGCTGTCTGAGGCAGGTCATCATTGTGAGAGGGGTTTAATTAGGCACGGCTCTACAACATGGTGTGCATCCTCTAAGGAAATGTCTGCAGAAAGCTCAGTTTCAGTCTCTCCAGATTAAAGCTGGCTGTGTTTGGTACATCTCCTCTTAGTGTATAAGAACCGAGAAAACAAAATAACTAACATCTTATGTTTTACTATCAGGGATTATTCACATGCCACATAAATGAAGGCTAGTGTCAGAACAGAGGTGACTTTGTGAAATAATGTTTTACCTTCTGTAACATCCCTCCTTTTCTAGGTGGTCCAGGTCTGCACGACCCATGTGAGAAAGAGCCCACAGATACTCTAGCCAGCATGAGCCACCAGCAGGCTGAGGGCATCACCTTTAGTGCACAGGTACACACACACACACACACACACACACACACACACACACACACACACACACACACACTATACAGCTTTTAGAGACAGTGCTGTTATCCAATCCTCACCCTGAGCTGTCACACTGAAAATAAATAAGCAACATGACAATTACCAGAAAGAAAGACCTCAGCACCACACACACACACATACACACACACACACACACACACACACACACTTTTAAGCTGTGTTCGTGCATGTCCTCCACAAAGAGCTGTGTGGTGTTGCATTTTAAAGATTGGTGTGGGAAACTATTGCCATTGCGAGCCATAAATCCATCTCTGACACCCTCAGGACAGTGGTTACGTGCGTGCGTGTGTGCGTTTGTGTGCGTGCGTGCATGCGTGTGTGTGTGTACGCTCTGACACTGGCTCTCAGGCCTGTCTTCTCACACACACATACACTCGGCCGAGCAGGGCAGCCTCTGAGCTGCATGGCTTAGTGAATCCTGCCGTCCATTTCCTTTGAAGGCAGGCTGAACGAGGCTGGAATGTCAATGGGGATAATTGTATTGAGGCAGATACACCAGCAGATAGGAGCTGCTCCGTCAATGAGCTACACCAAGCATCATGAATATCCAACACCTTCTGCCTCTAATGGGTTTAATTTAGCACAGCCCTTGTGCACCGTCTGATCTCATCTCTTAAGATCAAGGACGGTCTTTAACACGCCCATCAGTTGATCGGGTGATCATTTGTCTTAGATATGAATAAAAACTTACTTTTCCCTTCTTGAATACAGTTTTGTAATCCACTCGTGTTTATAAAAATGTCTCAAATAAACATGTTATCTTTTTGGAACATGAGCAGCAGAGCATAAGCTCGAGTATTCAAGCCTAAACTCACAATTGTCACCTGCTTGGTTCTGGAAAAGAGCATCTTTACCTCTTTTAAGGAGACTGTTATATTTTTATTCACATGTAGGTCTTCTGTGTCTTTCACATTTTCTTCTTTTACTTGTCAATTTTTAGCACATTTGCTTAACTAGCCAAAGCAGCTGCCTTCCAGTCTGCTGTAATCTGCTCAGAAAACCTGCTTTTGCTGAATTTTATATGTCTTGGCTAAAAGCAAAACATGGCGGATGTGGCGTGAGAACTCAAGACACCAGCCTTTTCCTTTTACTTCTGGTTTAGACGTGGACCTGTGAGGTTTCATTAGCAGCTCTCAGCAGACTCCTCCGATAATCATAGACACCAAACATAATCAACGCTTCCTCATTTTCACCGGGCCAACTTGTTAATCAGAACAAACCAAGCCTTTCACCAGGGAGGTGTCAGAGGGACAGAGGTTAAATTAGAGCGCGTCAGACAGATGCAGCAGGAATGAACGTTATGGAAAAGGTTAGAGTGGTGCTTTTACACCAAGAAACCAATGATGAGATGATCAGAATATGAAGCAGCTCGTCAGAGAAAGTCAGTGATAAATCTAGCGAAGTTAAAATAAGTCAAATGTTTTACGATTGTGCTTAAATCACACCGAGGGTGTTTCTCAGTCTGGAAGACTAGCATGCTGTAAAAAGTAGGTCTGCCATGTCTAAAAATAACTTCCCAAACTTTTTTTTACTTTAGGCTTCATTTTTTAACTGAAACAAAACATAGAAGCAGAGATGAATTAATGAATGATCAACTCTGAAGCACCCTGCTAAATCTCTGGATTTAATTGTGAAGTTTAATGTTTAGCCTGTTGCTGTTAAATCTGTTATTTTTTATCAGCTGTCTTTTGTTTTTCTTGTCCTGGTTGTGTTTTTGCATTCGACAGCACGCTCTCAGACTCATGGCATTTGGACAGATCTACAAGGTCTTAGAGATGGAGCCTCTTCCCTCAAATAAACCATCACAGAAATACCCCTGGTCTGACAAAGAAGGTGTGTATCCATCGTCCCCCTCTCCTCGTCTCTCTTTCACTTCAGTCTGTCCATCTGCCTCTTTTTATCACGTAGATACTTTAAAATACCCGGGTTAAGACACAATGTTCGGGTCACTCGACAACGTGACCCTTCTTGTTGAATTAGGTGTTTTTCTGCAGCATCAGTAAAGCTGAAGGACCACTCGGCAACAATACACTCTTAACTTCATGGTTTTATTTGTCACAGCAAGGACTCCCTAGCCATGGTGAAATGTGTGCGTTAGGTTTCTGCTTTAGCTGGTATCAGAGGAAAACTGGCTCCTTTTCTAAGTGATTCTAATGGAAACCCCACAGAAGCTTTGGGATTTCATCACTCTGACACAGAAAAGTGCCAGAGCGTTTGCCATTAAGGCAGAAGAGGAGATGGTGCTGTGCATCTTCTGTGTTGGTCTGCATATCCTCATCTCATCGTTGCCTCTCGCTCTCATTTTGTTTGACTTTGGAGGCGTTGCCTCCCCGTGCTGCCGTCGTGCCTTTGTGCCTCTGCATAAACTCACCTAAACAGATTGATGAGAGATGATTCTGTGTCCTGCTCCTTCAGGTTTAGGTCTGAAGAGGCCGTATGAAGACGGGACGATGGATGACAAGGACCTCATCAAGAAGATGAAGAGAAATCTTAGAAAAGGTTTGAAAAATGAGAAAAGTGTTGGTAAAGACGCATGTGCATGCTGAAAATCTAGGTTGTTGGATGTTTTCATGTATAATCTTACGTAATTTGATTGGCTGTGACTCGCTGAGGTGGAGGAAGACATTATTTGTTGCTCTGTTTCTTTTCGCCCTGTCTGTGTTTTCTGATGTCTTTGTCTTCCGCCTTCTACTTTCTTTCATCCCCGGCGGCAGATCGATAATATGGATTGCTAACATTTTAGCAGGCCACCCAACCATCCCCAGCTTGTTCTTTATACAAGCAGATTAACAACATCTTATGGATGCAAAGAAACCTTTCTGAATATTGACAAACAGAAAAAGAAGGGCTGAATGAGGAAGAAGAGATGGAGGCATCGTTGTTCAGCAGACTGAAACCCATTAGGGGCGACGGTGGCTCAGGGGTTAGGAGTTCGCCCTGTAATCAGTGGGTTGTGGGTTTAAACCCAGGCTCCATCAGTGCAGTCGTTGTGTCTTTGGGCAAGAAACAGAAGGACCGGTGGCACCTCGCTTCTGTCAGTTGAGGCTAAAGTTGGCTTATAACCATCAGTGTGTGAATGGGTGGCTGTAGAGTAAAGCACTTTGGAGTCTTCTGTCTCAGAAAGGTGCTACTGTAGCGTTACACTTTACAGCATAAAGACTGCATATTTAATTATGACAAATAAGATGTGATGACTCCATATAAATAAGAAATATCAACCTGATTGATCTTTGAATGTTTAACCAGAAGAGCTTAGGATTCTCTGCTTGTTCAGGGACCAAAAACACGCTTCGTATTAATTCAGGCAGAGTCAAGTATATAGTTAAAAGGAATTTTATTATTTCCTAAACTAATGATTATACATGACAAGCTATGAATAATGGTATGTGATGGAGTGTGTGGTGATGTAATGTGTTCACTTTTCATTCAGAGTGTGGAATCCAGCAGTCTGAGATAAGTTTGACAATCTCGTCTTCATGGACTGTCAACAAGCACTGCAGAATCTTCTGGGTGCTAGAAGATAGAATAGAAAATCCACCTAGATAGTGGAATTATGTCTGTAGATGACCGGTCACTATGTAAGTCAGTATATAGGTCAAAAATGACCCTTTTCTGGACGTTACACTACACCAGCACGGGTCATTTGTCATCATTACAGAAGCTGCTTTATTCTGTAAATAATCTATCACCCCTCACAAACTCTCCCGTCTCCTCTCAGTCCTCGACAGTAAAGCCATAGACTCCAACCAGCCAATGAATGCCCTGATGCGCCTGAACCAGATCCGACCAGGGCTGCAGTACCGCCTGCTGTCTCAGTCTGGGCCCGTCCACGCTCCAGTCTTCACCATGTCTGTGGACCTGGACGGAACCAATTATGAAGCATCTGGGTCCTCCAAGAAGACCGCCAAGCTCCACGTGGCCGTCAAGGTAGAAAACCAGGGAAGGGAAGCCTGTCCTCCTGTCTACATTTCTGTTTTTATGATTGTTGTCTGAATGAAAGAATGAAATATCATCTTTGTATCAAGTACTAAACTCTTCACTTTATAATAGGGAACAAGCTTTCATTTGGATGTTTGTCTCATTCCATCTTTCCACATTAACTCCAGTTTGAACAGATTTGTTTGTGTGCTGCTAAAATAACAGCCTTGATTTTGTCTTCTCGTAATTTAAATCAGTGTTTTTTATACTTCAGGACCCCCTGCACACGTCCAAGACAAGCCAGGACCCCTAATCACTGTTCTGCCCACATACACACATTAAAGGGGATTCATTAAACACTCTACAGAGTTATAACTTTTAGACAACGCTTCAAGTATACAGTTGGGTGTGTTATTGGGATTTTATAAATGTAATTTTTACAAAAATGATCTCGTTAACTTCACAACCTCAGCACAGACAAAATTGTGGGGACCCCCTGCAATCTTGAGGAGACCCCTTGGGTGGTCACAGACTTAAAAACAGTCTTAAAAACAGATGCAGACTTTGGTGAAGCAATGATGTCTTGATGTTTTGTTGTGAGAAACTGGGACTTTACAAATACTCCAGTGTTTGGAGGACTGTCTCACAGTCAATGTAGACATTTTGTCCACACAGAGGGTCTTTTGGACATTTTGAAGCCACTCTCAGTGACTCAAAAACAGAAAAAAAAATAAGATCAACTGTACAAGTAACTGAGACTAACAAGACTGATTACACTGCTATTGTCAGAATAAAGCTAGCTCACCATCTGTAGTAACAGCTTGGGTACAAGAGTAAGGGAGGAAGATTTTAAACCTAAATATTCATACTAGTACATTTTTAAAACAAGAAGAAGGCAGCTTAGATTGTTCAACCACCTGAACACCCCCCCCCCCCCCCCCCCCTCTAGTTTTTTCTTCCTGTGTGTTTTTGAGGTTGGTAAATCTGTAATCCCAAAGTGGTCCACAGAGCAACGATAATCCGCTCGCCGTTCCCATAAAAGGCTCTTTCTGCTTGTCTTTTCCTATTTTCTTTTCTCCGTCTCGCTCACTTCCTTTCTCCTGAGTTTTCACCTCTTCATCTCTCTTTCCTTTCACACACGGTCAACCGAGTGACTGGTTCAGTAGCTGTGACACAATCTCTCATTTGATTCAGAAATGTTTCATTCTGACTTTTTTCTGTACTTGGAGATTAAGAAGTGCTATTATGTTGGTCAAATTGACCTGTTTTTGCTCTTAGTTGTTAAAATCAAAACAAAGTAATTTCACTGGACCTTCATTATAATGTTTTTGGTTGTTTTTCAATTCATTTCAAAGATACTTTATTAATCCCAGAGGGAAATTAGAGTTTCAGTACACACAATTCTGAGATCAGACATACATACATAGACATAGACACATGACAGGAATTGGTGACTGTGGTCATTCGCAGCCCGGGTCGCACTACCTTAATTGAGATCAGAGGGTTTATAGGAGGATTGGGTCAGGTGGAGGGAAAAAAGGCACTTCAGAGTTACCCTCCACAGGGAGGGCAGCTTTGCTATGCAAAAATCACCTCAGACAGGAATGCAACAGACTTCAGACATTACACAACATAAGTGTCCACTAGGTGGGGTGGGAGGGTTGGGGACTCTCCACACGTCGGTAAATGCAGCCGCGATAAGCAGCGCTCGTCACCTCAGTCTGGACAGGGGGAAGAGGTCGTTGGGTTTGGAGGGCACAGTGACTCCTGGAACAATTCAGCGGCCTTCACCGCTTGCAGTCCCGCCCAGGCTGAGATAGGGAGACAGAGTTGCCATGGCGACTGCAGCATTCCACATTTCTTCTGGGTGGGGGTATTCGTTTCAGCCTCACAGGCTCACAGGCACCAGATTCAGATAAGAACTTGTTTTGGGTCCAGACAGAGATAATTTCTTCTCTGTCTTAAAGTTCTGCTGGTCCTCAACCTCTCAAAATCCAATAATGGTGTAAATTAATCTATCCCAATCTGTGCTGATTCGTCCACTCGCTCCTTGATGGCATCCATCTTTTGTGCCAATGCTTGAATCTCTGCCAAAGTTCCAAGCTTACGACTCATCTCGACAATTATATGAGTCTGTGCATTCACAGCGCGGTGTAATCCATCCCTGAGCTCCGGGAAAGGGCCAGTATTCCTCGACAGCTCGTTAATTTTCCGGTAAGCCAGGTAACCTCCCAGGCGAAAAAGCAGGAAACCTGACACCAACACCACGAATATCCAGACGTCTTCAGAATCCTCTACAGACAGCTGAGATAAGCAGATCAGGTTCCACTGTTTCCAGGAGTCCATGATGTGCCCAACTGGATCTGTCCCAGAGGGGCACCCGGGAGCCCCTTCTCCCATTCTCATTGTTGAGAAAATTTTGTCAATCGTGTTGATACCAGCTGACCAGGTCAATTTTTAATTATTTCCAGTTTCCTGAAAAAAATGTAGAAGCGCCGTACACCCAAAGACACACAGAGCCTTGGGGATAAGATGGGGAGGAGAGGAGGAAAAAAGCATCTGTACTCTCCAAGAGCCGGAAGAAGACAATATATAAGTGGTTGCATACTGGAAAAACTTCATCATCCTTTTTCCAGGTTCTCCAGGCGATGGGCTACCCGACAGGCTTCGACTCAGATCTGGACCCGATGAGCTCAGATGAGAAGTCAGACAGCGAGGGGAAGAGCGAGACATCTTCACACTCTAGCAATAACCCAACTCACTCCTCAGACGGCTCCAACACGCTGGAGGTGAGGACCGGGAAACGTGTGCTCACATATTCAAACATGTCACCCTGAAGCAAGTATCATCAGTGCGCTCTAAATTAAAAGGTGTTCATTGTAAGCAGCTTTATGCAAAGACACCCAAGATGTTCTTAGATCTCAGCTGTCGTGTTCTGCTAACTCCACACCAGTGACATTCTTTGGCATTTCACACTTCATCCCCCAAGTTCCCCGCCAGCTGTGAGTTTTCCTAATAAAACACTCAAAAGCCCATTAAAGAAGGGACTTTTTACCCCCTCAGGTGCGAACTCAGGGTCCCATACTGACAGCGAGCGGGAAGAATCCCGTCATGGAGCTCAACGAGAAGCGACGGGGCCTCAAATATGAGCTGATCTCTGAGAGCGGCGGCAGCCACGACAAACGCTTTGTCATGGAGGTGAGAATGTCTGCGGGTTTGTTTCTGTCTGGTCACACAAATGTGTACTCGAGCCAGAGGGAGTCATCGACACACAGTGGCTAAAACACACAATCAGAAGCAGGCTGATCACCCAGCAGCTTGGTTCCTGAGGCAGGTCTGCTCTCTGTGGGGTGTGCTGTTTTCCAACACGCCTGGCCGCTCCATTGCTCAGCTGAGTGATTAGCAGGTCTGGCTGACAGCAGGGCATTATTAAACAAGCTGTCCTGCTCAGAGAATCTCCTCTGCCTGAGTTGATGGCACATAAACACCTTCTAGGCTGCTTTAGATGCAGCAGGATGTTGTGTAAAACAGTGAGAAGATGGGCCTTTCGTATGGATGTGGATCAGTATTCAACACTTTCTGTGTGTTTGCTTGTCAGGTTGAGGTTGACGGGCAGAAGTTTCGTGGGGCAGGCCCCAACAAAAAGGTAGCAAAGGCCAGCGCCGCTTTAGCAGCTCTGGAAAAACTCTTCTCTGGTCCCAACGCAGCGGCAAATAAGAAGAAGAAGATCTTACCTCAGGTGAGGAGACAGACTTAAACTACGCATACTTGAAACATCGACCCCACTCTAAAGTGACAAACCTTCACTCCATCTTTCATGTGTGGCCTTTGAGGGTCAGAAAAGATTTTATGTAAACAAAACTTCTCCACCCTGTCCACTCATCAGGAACCAATGTGTGCTTTGCTGTTATCGACACCTTTTCGGTTTTTGTCGACATGCATGTACACATGCGGGCGCATGGCCGTGCTTTACGTGCTGCGTCAGCCGTATTTGATATCTGACACACACACACCTGTGTTCTGTGTTCAGACTAAAGGAGCTCTGGCCGCCGCCGCAGCAGCATCGGCTGTAGCAGCACAGGTGGCGAGAGGAAGAGGGAGAGCAGCACTAGCGAGAGGAGCTTTCGTCAGTGCCGCTGCACCTGGATACGTCACACCAGGTAGTAAATACGTTTAACGAACGAGTGCATAGGATAATATAAATGCACCTATTAATTAATTTTAAGTAGTTATTTGTTTGAGACAGTTGGCTTAAATATATTTTTGTCACAGTGGCAGATCCAGGATTTTCCTGTGTGTGGGCCATCAAAGGGCACTGCCCCTAGAACCGCCAATGTTTAGTTGTATCTCTCCTTCAGACTTAAGTTTTAGATGCTTTGCTCATTTCTCTGAGATGATTAAACATCTGATCTGTTCCTGCAGCTGTTTTGGACACATCCCAAATGTCCCACAGCACCCTGCAGCACATGTAAATGTAGAGCAGCCTACTCTACAAATCCTGTTTATCCTGGTTTCATTATTTTAAGGAGTGCAGTATCTGCTCAGATGGCTTTAATGAACCAGCATCTGTCTGCTGCGGTGGAGTTTCAGACTGAATACACAGAGATGTTGAAATCAAACCCGTACAGGATTGAATTAGACCCTGTAACCTCTCCCCAACAGGCTTTGGCACACCGTACGGCTACAGCCCTGCCGCAGCAGCTGCTCCTGCATACGGTACGTGCTTCTCCCCTCATCCTTTCACCTTCCTTTTCCCATGAGCGACCTTCCTCCCGTCCTAACCATTCCTGGGTAGATTAATGAGTCTGCAGTAACTTTTACTCTGTTACATCTGCAATCCCTTCTCTATGAAGCTGTTTTTGCAGGTTTTGTGCCTTTTCTCACACTTGATTTGAAAAATATACAAACCTTAAAATGCTGGCTCGCCTCTCGCTGTGACTAATTGTCCTCTAACCTTTCATGGATTGCTCCTCCATGCTTATATGTTTAATACTTTGACTTTGGACTGCCCTTTGTCTCAAACTCTGATTTAAAATCGAACAAAATCAGTTTTGTGCTTAATTATTTGATTTGGTTTTTACACTTTCTTCCAAAAGCCTCTGACTCATTACCTAAAACAATCACATATTAGTTGAACAGAAACTGTGCAGGTTTGTTACGTCCTCTCTGAGCTTTAAAAACACATTCAGGGTGTTTACAGGCTCAAGTCTTTAAGGTGTTAAAGTCCGGTCTGTCCGTCTCAGTTTCACATGGTCGAATGTACCTCAACAGACTGGGCCTTGTCTGGTTTGTGTACACACGAGGTGTTCAGAGGCCTCTGTGTCCGTGCCTCATCCGTGGGTTTGAAAGGGTCTTATGTGCTCAGAGGAACTGGACCCAGGCTCCAAGCAGGCATTTGCGACGCTCTCTCGAGAATCCCAACAGCTCCGAGTATCAAGCGCTGCTCAGTTTGTTTGTGTTTATGTGAACTGGAGGCTGAGTTAGCTCAAGGTGTTTAATTTTCTTAGAATTCACAGTTTTTACGTGAATTAGTGAAGATTCAGATAATGTTTAGTGTTTTGCTTTACAGCTGATGGCTGAAGCACAAAGTAAATAAACAGGTGAATGAATGTCCTTAGCTGAGGTGAAAAATGGCGTCTGGCGACGGCACAAACATCTTTTTAAAGAAGAAAGGCTTTTAGCGCTTCTTCTTGTTGTGGTTTTAAAGACGTATCCATATCATTTAGAACAGAGGAAAGAGTCGCAGCAAACTCCGCTTCAGTCTTCGTTGTTTATGAGAAACTGAGCATTGCGGTGTGTGACGTACGCTGCTCAGCGCTGATTGGCTCGTTTAGAATTCTCTGGGGGTGGGCTTATTTGAACAGAAGAGTTCCCAGTTCCAATGCTTGTTGGAAACATGGGGCTGGCTGGTCAGGCTAACTTTCTCCTCTGGCTGAGTTCTCCGTACTGAAATAGGTGCACTGGAGCTTTTTTCCCCAGAGTACGACTTACAAGGCAATCATCCCTACTAGAGACCACTGCAAACGGGTCAAAAATATGAGTGAAGTACCTCTTTAAAAGTGGCAATCTGACCCTGCTCCAGAGACGAGAACAAAGACGTTACTACTCTGGGATATTCTCCAGAATATTTATATTGTTTTTTAACATTTCTCGTTTTGTTTTGTCTTAAATGCAAACATTAGAACCTAAAACATGAAATATCCCATCAGATGGATCACGCTACAGCACAGACCTTTGATTTAATTTGTACTTTGGTCATTTTGATGTTATTCTTCTTCCTCATATTGGTGTATAAGATCTGTGGCTGTGGGTTGATCACCTTTAAATAACGACTAGTGTCTGCATGTTTCTGTTTGTCTTTATTTTGCTGCTTTTATGAGCTTTGTTTCTATTTTACCTTTAAAGATGGAGAAAGATCTTTAAACGCAGCTTCTTACGTTGCCATATTTCACTAAAAATTACAGCAAAATAACTTTTTAAGACATTCACTCATTTCTTTTCCTTCCATTAAACTGCACAAATGCCACCTCCTGCATCCTGCCTGCTCCCTCCTCCCCCTCTCTGGGAGGATGCTTTTCTGCTGCTGCCAGGTGTTTGTTGAACATAGTTTGTGTGCATAGAGTCTTTTGGGTTATTTTGCTGCCCAGCACTCATGCAGAGCTTCTCATGTCTCCCCTCTAGGTTTACCCAAGAGAATGCTTCTGTTGCCTGTCATGAAAGTGCCCGCCTACCCCGTCCCCCACTACTTCTTTTAGCGCAGGACACACACACACACACACACACACACCAAATGCAGACAGCTTTTTGTTTCGTTTTCTAGAATGGAAACACATTTTGTTTTGGTTTTTTGTACTTTTGTTTATCTTTTTTTTTCTACACTCTCAGTGATGGGGAAAAGATGAAGACTTCTAGGATCATTTGTTTTCTAACTGTTTAAAAAACTTTTTAAAATCTGCAGGTTCTTTAAAAAACTTGAAGGATGTGTACTGTGAAATGTGTTACCTCAGTCTTTGAGTCTAAATTATATATGGAGCTTTTATTCATGCTTTGCTGAGAGGAGGATATTCTTTGCAATAGATCACATGACACACATTTTCTGTGTATAAAGAAAGTAATAATGTGAGCTGTGTGAAAGATGTACAGGAAGAAATCAATGATGCTGAAAAAAGAATAAAGTTTAGCTCAAACGCTGCCTGTTGTATATCTGATTTCAACAGGAACCTTTAGTTCTTCTCTGCAGTGATGATTTAAATCTGAAAATGCAGTTCTGGATTCCACCTTCCTGAATATAATGTCAGCACTTTTCAGGCCGTCCCTTTGACCTGCAGCTCATAGATATTTAGAGCAAAGAGCCTGAAGACGAGAGGTGAATTTAAAACGCTCCTGTGAGATCCTCGATCCCATGTTCAGCTGCACAAAATGAAGCTACCTCTGTGCGGCATGTGGATTCATTTTTGGCAGCTGCCAGGAGTACGCCGTAAACCATACAGAGTGTTTGTATCATGTGAGGGAGCGCATCGGTGCAGATGTAGAAGCACGGTTAACCCTGTAACTGTCTGATTGACATGAATCCATCTAAGCGCATGTTGCTCGTAATGTTTTGAAGTTGCTGGTTCATTTTTTCAGCATCATTGCTGCACATGTTGTGTTAGCTCATGTTTTTATTTCCTCTCTTGGACCTGTAACCTAAACCACAGAAGTCTGGGTGGATAAGTTTGTCCTCAGTGCTCATTATGAAACATTAGCGGTGAGACGACCCGACATTAAAACGGCCCTGCACCAGAGCGAATAAAGGACGCGCTCAGCAGAAAGGTCAAAGGTCAGAGCCAGCAGAGGCACGGTCATGCTGGCCTCTACATCACGTGTTTTCCATCCAGCCAGCGAGAGATAAACCTCTGAGGACGTCTCTATGGTTACGGCTGTGAGGCGCAGCCATTGGATGAGAGGATCCAGAGTCTTGTCCAATGGTTGGTTAAGCTCCACTAAGTTTTATCTGTCTTCACCTTAACTTTTCTTCAGTCTGTCTTGGCTGAAGATGATTTTCCACCTGCTCTTTAATTTTCTTCTGCTTCTTTTGATGTGATTTGAAAAAAACACCAGAGTTTTTATCTCTAAGCTTTTGTGGCTGAAGTTCCAAAGTGACACACTCATTTCTCCTGCCGTGTGTTAAAACTTGTTTCCTTTCTGCGAGCTGAGTATAATGAGTGTTTAACATGGACTCTATCGCAGTTTGAGCTGATAAACTCAGATTATTAATGAGCTTTTGTCCTGGCTTAACCGGAGAGATTTTAGAGTTGTTAAAGATGACCTGAAACGCTATAATCCTTTTATTATTTTTATTTTTTGTTGTGTAAACTTTATGGGTATCCTTCTGTATCCTGTTGAACCACTGTGGAAAAGGAATGTCTGATTTTCATTAGTTACATTTATTAATTTATTTATTTTTGTCCATTTCAAGTTATTTCAGTTGTTTTATAGTCTTAGTTTAGTATAGCAGCTGAACATTAGTGCTTTATAGCTCTTCCATTATTAATGTTACTTAGTGCGGTATTAAGCATTAATAAACAATGGGTCCTTTGTTAATGTTCCCAGCATTGATAACTATTAGGTGTCTTTAAGGTTAGGTCGGGGGTCTGCTTAGTAGTGCAGTACATACTATGGTTGAGCAGATGTTAATACTTTAATATTTTATTAATGCTTAAAAATACAAAGAGTAATGTTATTAAAGGGACCTTTATCGTAAAGTGTTACCAGTACCTTTGGGCAAGAGAGCTGTCAGGTGAAACCATAAATTTGTTATACTGATGGTTCATTTTTAGGATTGATGTTAAATAGATCTCCTTCTGCTTTAGAACAGCAGACCAGATCTCAGTTTGATCAGAAATGTTTCAGGTTAGAAATAAAACACAAGTCACCATGAAAAACCGATCTCAAGCTACTGAACAGTGAAGTTTGAATGTTACTAATAAATACTGTTGCTTTTCATTTAATGAAATCCAGACAAGGTTGTAATAATTCTGTTTATCGTGAGATTCATGAAGCTTGTAGTCTGCATTTTTGTTCAATTATTTCTACCTGAAACTAAAATAAGAAAAGAATAAGTTGTTAGGAACATATATAGCTAAAGTAAACTAAAAACAAAAGTGAAATGAGCTAGTAGCTTCTTGTTTTTAGATAACAGATTTTCTTCATGAATATAATTGTAGTGAACTTGAGAATTGAGGTGGAGCGCCTCTGCCCTACTGGTTGTACATGGAATTACAACTATTCTAACCAACCCTGCTGCAGGCTGCTGACAACGAGTTAACACAAGCAAACTGATATCAGATACACTATGAAGTAAAAAGATCCACACTGGTGGAAAAAACATATTGCGTACAAGCCCAGTTACAACAAAGCCAGGTCACCATCAGTCTGTGATTTTGTAACCTCCTTTAGCTGCCTCAAACAAGTGTAGGCCATGCCGATGTTCAATCTGGTTTTAGCGCTTTGCTTCACTTCCAACTCTAAAAAATGCAAAAAATGTATATATAGCAAAACTCTTTTTTTCTTCTGCCTCTTTTTACTGAAAGTCAGAAACCAAAAAGCTAACTGCTAGCCTTTATAGCTACCAGCACAGTAAACAGCAATTGCCGTAAAGCAGGCAGAGTAGAGACCTCCCACTAGGGCAGTGTTTCCCAACCCTTAAATGAATGCTTGTTTATCAGGCCTCTGCAGCACTTGGTGTCCTCCTGAGGAGCCTGTGTAAATCAGGTGTGCTGAACATGCAGGTCAGTGTAGCCTGAGGACCAGGGTTGGGAATCACTGCACTAGTGAACCTAGTGCAGTTTCTGGTCAGCAGAAGGCTACGGAGGACTGTTTGAAAGCAATAGCTTAAAATGTTAAAAACTCTTTGGTGTTGCTTTAAAAGAAAAAAGAAAAAAAATCCTCAGATCTTGCACTAATCAGTTCTCTCTCTCTCTCTCTAATTCTCCCCCACCCCCCTGCAGGTGGTCTGTTCATTGACAATCCTTTCTACCAGCCGCGTACCATCGCTCCTTTCATCATCCATCTGGGTCCTCAGGATCTTTTCTCTGACTTCTAAAGGCAGGAAGCTGCTGGACACACTCGCCACACTTACGTTTCTCCTCACACACCCACTGTTTTTTGGGTCTGTGTGAGAGTGGGCCTCCTGTCTGATCCCACAGATGGATTCACTTCGATTTGACCGCTGCATACACGTTCTCACCTGCTGACCGAGAGCCACGGCACCCTTCTCTCTCTCCCCTTAACCCTCCCCCTCTCCCTGCTTTCTCTTCTCTGTGCCCAGATTTTCCTCCTCAGAGGAGAGCAGATTTACACAAAGCAATACTCTGGTTTTATGAGGCACGTTCAGTGGGCGACTGTGCGAGAAGGAGCTGGACTTTTGGGGTTTTTTCAAATAGCAATACACCTGAACTCGTCTTTTAGAGAACATGTGAATGTCCGACGGAGGTTTTCTCAACACAGAGTTGCAATAGCTGAATCTGATTGTATATTCATCTTACGTGTGTGTATGTGTGGCTTTACCATGACTATATACACATCTAATATGGTGTATTTCTATAACAGTGTGTTGACAATAATATACAATGATGTACGTATGTAAATACTCTATAAATTATAATTATTGTTATAAAATATTTTAGAATTCTAAAGTAAAATGTAACTGTACTATCACAGCATAGCTTTCTTCCAGTTTTATAAACACTGAGCAATTGAAGCTAGTTCTAGAAGATGCAATATTATCTTTGGTATTCTTAATAACCTGTGCTAGTAGAGTATTGATGCTTCCTACTGTCCTTCCTTCCTGGTTCCCTCTGTCTTTGATGTCTATCTGAGCCTTTCTGAGCACGCTCTCTGCTGCCTGGGGTTTGTTTACACGGACCAGGACCAGAAGGGCGCTCCCTTCTAAACACACTCGTATGACCCAATCACACACTCTTTACCTGTCGGAAAGCACATTTTTCTATAGTCTCACTGCTGGCAGGGAAAACTGTCATCATTGTGTGTGTGTGTGTGTGTGTGTGTGCGTGCATGTGTGTGCGCGTGTGCGTGCGAGCGTGCACGCGCTTGTGAGAGAGACTGAGGTTTGTGTATGCGCTCTTCAATCTGCCGATAATGGACACACACACACACACACACACAGAGCAACTGTGAGCTTCACTCTGCTCATCTTACAGGGTCCAATAGCACAGCTCCTCTCTCTGTCTCTCTCTCTCTCTCTGTCTCTCTCTCTCTCTCTCTCTCTCTCTCTCTCTCTCTCTCTCTCGCACACACACATCAATGGGAGTTGATGTCCGTAAAGTTTGTTTTCCAGAGAGAAATTTTGCAGCTCAGACTGAAAACTCAATCCTGCTTCCTACACTCTTGATCTCATGTTGCCTGAGATAAAAAATAATTGCATCAGATACTTACACAAACTTTAGTGAAGTGTAGAAACAAAGAAGTTAAATCCCATATTTGCCTTCAAAAGTGTAAAATGGAAACGTTGCCGTTAGATTGTTAGCTAAGAGTGTTTTCTGTGGATATTTCTGACTCAAGCCATCCGTCCTCCATCTCGGAGGCTCTCAGAGGTCTTCATCTGTGCTCTGGGCAGTTAGGACCATCAAGTCCAGAACTCTTCTGGTCTTCTTTATGCTGAAGATGGCTCTCAGAGACGTAGGCAGCAGGATAAAATTCATAGCACTGATTGAATTCCTCAAACCTCAGACTCGAGCCACAGAAACCACTGTATCACTTGTTATTGTCTCATTTGAACTCATCTAGCTATATTTTCTGTTTTCATGCAATCGGGAGTCTTTTGGTGTTACGTTGGACATCTGGCATGTGGGCTGCCATTCCTCCATGAAGACCATTTCTGGTCAGACGTTTCCAGATAAATGTACCTGGATCTCTGAAGCTTATGACACTGCTGCACATCCATGAGCGGTCCTTCATCAGCTTGCGCTGCTGCTCCACCTCTGCTCCTCATGTTTTTCTCCTGATGGTAACATCACCCTGAATTCTCTGTCGCACCTCACTGGCAGAGCTTTGCTGCTCCTCGTCCAAATTCAAACCTCTTCTGTTTAACTTTGAGTCAGTTTCAGCCCACGTGTGAGAATGAAGGCCATCACCACCTCTTTGGTTTGATGGAATAATCAAACTCTTAATTAAAGGTACAAAGTATTATTTGTGCAAGTGAATCAAATACTGGTCACACCTTTTCTCAGTAACATTTTGATCCCGTTGACTGAAACATTTGAGCAGATTTATGGTGTTTACATTTTTCCAAGAGCTCGTTTTCTCTGTTTCTCATTTCTGTGTTCTAACGTGAAACAGACGTCACTCAGCAAAGGAAAAACTGTTGGGAATGTGCATCAGATGGGAATGATTCTCGTCCCGTTCACCCTAAACTGGGCACCAGTTTTATATTTACTGAGCTGTAACTGAACAGGAATGACATCTGAGGAGCAGATGATTTACACACCAAGCTTTGAAAGCTAGTTTTTCCACACGAGAAGTTAAATATGAGCTACAGTCTGTGATGAAACCGTGCACTCAGTAGATTTCTGATCTTCAAAGTTTTTCGTTACTTTCCTGGAGAGACGAGGTCACACAATAACGGTTTCAGAGAGTGAGAGACTAGATAATTAGAGACTTTCATTACATTGACGAACAAATCTGGATCTCTCGTTCTGTCTGTTTGCTCTCATGTGGAATTTACATGCAGGTGGAATATATCGTTTTGTTAAAAACAGACCTCCATCAGCTGAGCCCCCTCCTCCCTCTGCCCCAGATGGCCCACATTAATAAGGCAGACAGTCATACCTCAGTGAGCCATTTCCCTTCAGACCCAACAGACTTGTAGGAGGAGTCCCCCTGACTGCTGACCCCGTCCCCTCCGTGTTTCGGTTGTTGGACGGCGCGCAGATCAAACAGTGGGAGCCAGAGACGCACGGCCGGTGTAAAACTGGCACAGGCGGTCCGGTGGGAACATGCAGGACGAGGCTCTTCCGCAGTCAGAGACCGGGTTCATTTACTTTGGAGGTCCCAAGTGTTTTTCTCTTTACAGGAACTGGGACAAAACCAGACTTTGCATTAGAATTACTCTGTTTCGACTCGTTTGTCCAAAAACAATGGATGAAAATGAGCAAAAACCATCTTTAAAGACTTCTCCATGTAAACATGGAATGATGTGAATTAAATCATTTTAATGGATACTTTGCAACTTTTTCATGTTTTTAAATAAATGTTGATAGTGTGTGCTAATATGACCCTTTACAGGGTTAATGAAAGGCCACCCAGCTCTTATCGCTCCCTGGGCAACGTCACAGTTGTCGGTTAGACTTATAAAAAATTGAGCTGACATACCTGGCGATGCAGTCTGCTTCCGTCAAGTTTCCTGCATGTTTTAGATCATGAACCCAGCTGATTTGTTTAATTTAAGGATGAACCTCTCCTGTGGACACTACATAAGGCTGAGGAAATATTTCAGCTGTTAGATTAAGGTGTTAAAAAGACGACGTACAGTGAGGAGATACGTTTTGCTTTCAGCTCTACAAACGGACACTAGAGGGTGCTAAAAGCGACCCTAGCCTAGTTCCTCTTTCATTACCATAGCCCAATGAAGACGGATAATGGTGTGTGTTCAACTGGTTTAAGTCAACAGCTTCCATCTCAAAGTGTAGTTATTTATAATTATTTCTATAAGCATCAGTTTCACACCACATGATTTTAGCTGCATTCTGTGGATTTCGCAGCACAAAGCAGAAGTGGCTGTTGGTTTAGCAACAGAGGCTCAACGTTCATTCGGTGAAGAATAAGATTGCTTTTCTTTATTTTTATTGGATAAAACAAGCAGTTTTTAGGAAAACCCTAACCCACATGAGCAGTTTCAGGAAAACAATGAGCTTAAATGCTCCTGTTTTCAGAGATCTGTGCATGGGGTCGTTGGAGTCTCCTTGCTCAAAAAAATCTCTTCTGTTGCGAGTGGAAAACATGAAACCTGATTTTCAGATATTTTAATTGATCTGTTTTTAAGAACTCAAATGTCCCACAGAACGCTGATTCATCAGGTCTTGGGGGGGGGGAATAGATCTTTTCAGAGCTGTCACTTGTCCACCACTCATGCTGGACCGAGACCATTTGGACAGACTTGTCTCGTGTTGATGATCATCACAGTTGTTTTTGCAGTACATGCTCCTGATTTGTTGACAATATTCCCACTCTGGTGCTCTCAAACATCCTCAATGTAAACATTCATAGACGGTTTCCCAAACACCCTTTCGGCGTCCATTCAGCAAACACCACCACTTGCACATCTACAAAGCACAAGCTGCATACAAGCAATACACCTGCATGCCGTACTCAGGGCCACCTGACACAAACACATTTATGCCAACACACACACACACACACACACACACACACACACACACACATAAGCACACTCATAATCAAGTGTAAATACTCAAGCACATTGAAGCGGTGTGATATTCTTTGCTCTGTAGATTGTATATTTGTGTCCAGTGTGAGTCACAAGTGGTTGGAACTTGTTTTTGCTTGAGGAAGCGAGCCATGAATAGCTGAGAACACACACACACCCCAAACCTGCTCTGTTATGGTGCTTTACGAGGAGCTGTCTGTAGCGCTGTACATAATGGGTCTCTGCTGGGAGGAGCGTGCTCATGCAGGAGCTGCAGATGGTTGCAGAACCAATAGGGCGAGTTTCCAAAAGCCCATCTTTGTGAAGCTTGCAAACAAGCTCTTGATGCAGAGATGCTTTCACAGAATCAGGTACGTTTTTTTTTCTGCACAATGAGATCCACCCAGACACCAAAGAGTGTAAAAGCCCTCGCTGCACAAATCTTATCAATCAGTAATTTTATGTCTGAGTGAACAGAAAAGAGTTTTAGAGTAGCTGAAGAAACACCCAGAAGGTCTCTGCAGAGCTGCAGAAATAGATTCTGTTCCCATGAATGTAGCAAAGCTAACTGCTGAACACATCTTTCTCTCTAAGTGTGTGTGTGTGTGTGTGTGTGTGTGTGTGTGTGTGTGTGTGTGTGTGTGTGTGTGTGTGTCCATGTGCACACAGACATATCGCTATCACATCCAGCATGTCATTGCATACTTCCTGGTCCACTGATTGTTGAAGCCGCCCTGATAACTGATCAAAGCATTTTGGTTGGGAATGTACACTGTTGCTGTAGTGATTGTTAAGTAGAATGTATTTACTCATAAAGTAAACTTGCTTTTTTGTAGAGAAGCATATAAACAGAATATATATGGTTAAATACACACATATATATATAAACATGTATTTATCTTTTCAACTGCCTGTGTGAGGGTTGCTTTGGGCGCATCTTCCCCGTTTATATAAGTTTCCCTCGTCTTTATTGCAGGTTTACAGACGTAGTGTCTTATGAGTGTTTAGTTTGTTTCTTGTAAATATCTTTTTTATTTTGAACACAAGGGGGATTAAAAGAGACTGTTTTACGATGCTGCCTTTAATTTTATTTATGTGATACCTGTTCACAGAATCAAAGGTTGTACCTGTTACATGTTAGTCGGGCCGCTGGCGATGAATTTCGAGGATCATTTGAATTTGATGTGTTTTGATCAGTAGCAACATTCACTGCAGTGATGATCAGTGGTTGTCGCTGTTCCTGACATAACATGCTTGAAGAAAAAACTGAAAATAAACCTGAGACAGTGCTGAAACTCTCCACTGGTGTCTGTTTAAATGGATGTAAGTGTTGATCAAGTGTTGTTAAATCAGCAAACAATTGCAAATATCAGCCAAAGATGACCAGAATTGAAGCAAAATGTTTTCTCTTACTGAAGCAACGAATGTAAACCAACCTGGTCGTGTGTGGAACAGTATTTGTACCTAAACTTCATAAATGGCCACTACGCTTTGGTGCAATCAAGCATTTGTGATAACTGCTGAATCTCTCATCGCTCTGGACGAAGTTTTTCCCCAATCATCGATAAAAACAACTAGGTTTAATTCTGCCACATTGGAGGGCTTTCCACAGCATGAACAGGATCATGTTTAAGGTCAAAGGTCAGAAATACTGCGTCAGGATTGCTCACTACAGAGTTGTACAAAGTGCAAGTCCTGAAGCAGCAAAGCAGCTCCAGACCATCACACTACCACTTCCATGTTTAACATTTTCTCTTCAATACAGTGTTAGTTTTACACCACACCTTCCAGAAAATTCCACTTTTATTTTGTAAGTTTACAGAATATTTTCCCGAAAGTCTCAGTACTGGCAAACGTGAGATGAGTGTTTGCTGTGGAAGTCTCCCATTTTTGCCCTAAAAGGTGTTTCCACTGTGAACCTCAGGGTAAATTTACAGCAACTGCCCAGCATGCATGCGTCTCCACTTGACCGGGATGGCCGAACGGCCATTTTCGGGAACCTTTTGAATACCTAATCAGGGGAAGGTACTCGGAATGGCCTGGTGAAGAAGCTGAGCTGAACTTTTGGTTACCTTATGCTGACAGTTGTATCTCCGTAGGAAATGACGTCATCAGACGTCCAATAAACCGGCATTAGTTGCTTGTGAAGCAGAATGGAAGCAAAAGAAAATGAACACAGAGTGTGCTGCTTAAAAATTGCTGACACTGTATAACATGGCCGAATCCTCCTAGAACGATTTAAAAGTGACAATGTGAGAATGTAAACTACAATGTGTAGTTTACCATTAATCTTTGGGTATATCCATTGAAACGTTGTAAATGAATTAAAAGATGCACAGCTGTTGAAAAATATTGGCGGTTTCATAACATAACCATACAAATCTTGGTCTAAAACACATGGGAGCGGGTCCAAGTCTCTGGGCGGTGCCATATTGGATGCCATGTTTCCTTCTACAGAAGCCTGTGAGGACAGAATACATCTACTAATTTGCAACAAATGGTTCAAATCTTTCAGTATTAATAAACGTTCTTTTACACATTTACCTCTTCACTCATTGCAAGTGATGGAAGGCAATCTGATGTTTTATTGGAGGTTGCACTCTCAAGGATTTTTGACCCTAATGGCCATCTGTTGGCAATGTCTTATTTGAACGCAAAAATAATGCTGACTTGCAATGATTTAGGTATCTACAGCCCCTTATCGCACTGCCACTTTAATTCACGGGGCTTTGTTGACTCAAAGAGCGCTGTAAAAACAAATGTTCTTCTGGCCATTGAATGCCACATTTGACATCACACAGCTACTCTCATCCTATGAATGGATTCAATTGTCAACTTTGGCTGGCATTGAAAATGTTTTTGCTCATCTGTAAAATACTCGAGGCTCACCAACAGCCTTAGTTCATAATTATCATAAAAACATGCTAAGACGTACAGTGGTGTTCTCTTCCTTAATAAGAAGTCAAGATGGCTGTTACATAAACTAAAGAGCACAAAACTTAAACATGCACAGACATAAATACTACTACAATGATGATGGTTAATCAGCAAAAATATTGTTTAAATTAATGAATTCATGACAAATACTTGAAATTTTGATTGACAATTTTTCATTAAAACTTTTTTTTATAATAATTAGGGTAAGGGTCCTATGTGCCCATTTAAAAATGTAAATCCAATCTCTCAGCATTAGTCTGTTTGCCCAGAACGTTGATTTATTTCCACTAAAATCCAAACATTTTGACCGTGCCAATAACTGTGTCATTACGAGTTAAGGTCATGGCCGGTAATTGGCACGTTTGTGTAAGAGTTTTAGCACACGGCGCTTCATCCATACCAGCCGTCAGTCTTCTTTAGAGCAGCACCGCTGATGGCTGAGTCTCTGCCGAGGATCCTGTGACATCTCCAGCATTCACCAGCATCAGCACACAGACACAACTGCCAGTCATCCTGCAGGGACCTGAGCATCACTCTGTGGCTCCCAGTTTTTCAGAGGAGCAGCAACAGAGAAGAAAAAAAACTCACACCTTTGTCTGATGGGTGAGAAAACAGGACAGACGGGAGGAAACTTGAGCCCACCAGATGACACATCCTGTCAAATGAAGCCCTGCAGAGTATCAGTAGATTGGGTCAAATGAGATGGATTTGTGTGGATTTGTTCATTTTTAAGACCAAACATGATGTGTTTACATTCAAACTTAGAGCAGCAGCTTCAGGATTTGGTTTCACTAAAAAGTACTCAGAAAATTAGGTGATAATAAAACGTTTTGGTGGTAGAAACGGTGTCGCCTCCTCCTGTTACATTCCTCAATCGGAGTTAGGGACACTAATCTGGGAAGCTAATCGGACACCGAAGGCATCTGCTCGCTCAGTGCAGAGTTGCATGCTGCTGGGCTATAAATGACCAGGAACTGCTGACATCTTTCTTACTGATGACCCATATTGAGTTGCAGCTGGAAACAGGAAACTCCAGTTAACTCACAAATCAGATTAATTTGACACAACTCTCCTCCTTGGCAAGTTGACACCAACATCAGGGCCTCTGTGAGATTTAACGAGGCTCGCAAAACTAAACTAATGTTAATAATAGCTGGGAGTGTTTAAAACGTGACACTTGTTTTAAACAGCAGAACTGTCAGTAAGCTGCTAGTGCTAGAATAGATCATTGAGTGTATTTTTGTAAAACTATTAAAACTGGTCATTTTAGTTTTCAATTCTAAAAATATTCTGAATTTTGCATCAGACAAAAATACCACATGTCAACTTACATAAAACAAAAAAGAAAACAACTAACCAGAGTTAGTTGTGGTGTTCCTCAGGGCTCTGGACTCAGCCCAGTTTTGTTTTCTGTATTCTCGCTCTATTTTCATGATGTTGCTCACTTATTTATCATTGAAGTCATTTAGTTAAACAGCAGGCTTGATCCAAGGACATTATGACCTGTGTGACCCTCAATGTTACATTTCCTAGTCCTCAAAACACTTGATTTCTAATCACACAATTACTTTTGACAACTTGTCATTAGTGTTTTGAGGCTACTGTAAGAAACATTTGTGTTATTTTTGACAAATACCTGTTTTAAACTAGAACATTTGTTGTTCCTAGACCTGGTTGCAGTGCAGAAATGTTATTTTGTATGTCTTGCTGTTCTGGAGTCAGCCTCCAGTTTGGGTACCAAACACACAAACACATTTCATGCCGCCTTCTTTCCAATTTTTTATTTAGAATAGCTGTTTTTTTTTTCTTCTGTTGTTTCCTGTTTGCCTCATTACAATGACTGATTTTATGTTTTCCTGTCAGTCTGCTTTAGAACTTTTTCACAGTTTTTTTTCTCATGTCCACATCTGATTTGCTAAATGCAGAAAAATATAGCCTACGACTGAATGGATTAATAGGTTTATATCTGCTTATGCACCTGAATTTTACAGTCAGATGATATATTGTAGACTTTACTGTTGAACTGTCAGGACTTTATATGTAAATATATAAAACAATCCTGCAAAAAAATGAACAAACCTAAAAAGAATTATCTCAGGACTCAGTCGTTTTTTCATTTTTAAGTAATAAAATATATGAGTCTTAAAACAGTAACTCTCCAGTAGTGTTTATTTTTATATTTGCTTAGAGAGCATTAATTACATGTTTATTTTGTCTCATCACTCCTTCCACAGCATAAAGAAGCAAAGAAACGTTTATTTTGTGGTATCTTTTGTATAAAATAATGTATGTTAATGTTAAAAAATTATAATAAGGTAGCAATAATGACATCATATTGAACTTGATCTAAACTCAATATTTTTTTATTATTCATTTAATTAAAGGCTTAGGAACAGGCTACCATTTCTTTGCCAGTTAAAGGCAGATAAATTGTGTCGTCTGTGTTAATTGATTGGGTGTTTTTCACGAACGTAAGTCCATTCAAAACCATAATATTCAGTTACATTGTTTTGTTTTCCCAGTTTGAATGAAGCAAAAGAAAAATAAATGACACACACAAAAAACACATTCTTAATGTAATCAGACTTTAAAAATAAACACTATTTCAGCTTTTCTTACACATTCTTTTAGGAATGTCTCTTGCTGACATGCTGCTCTGATCATGTAGTCATTTTATAAAAATGTTTTTGTGGGTTTCCTTCTTTCATTTATTTTTGCTCTTGTGATCTGGCCAGTCAACGTAAAGGATGAGTTATTTCTCTTTAGAACTTGAGCTTGTTTACATGGAATCTGTATTAAACACTATAGATGCCAAAAGTCATAAAAATATATTAACACAAGATTTCAATAGAAAATTGAAGAAGTTACTCTCTACAAAATGTCCTTTTAAATAATCTGATGGTTCTGATTTCTATAAACTATTAGTTTAGGCCATAACAAATCTTATTTTGACACTTGTGTACAAATTCTACTAATATTATTTTTGTTCCTATTGTGTTTGACTCTGTTTGGGTCACTGACCTTCCTGTTAGTCTGAAACTAGAGAAGATCATTTAATTAGGTCATGAATTTAAATTAATTCATTTTAACACGTTTCTTGCTGTTTGTTGTCAACGGTACTTTGTACTAAAAATCATGAATAAATGAAAAAATGCACAATGTTCTGTGAAAAAGTAACTTCCCCCTTACAGATTTTATTATTTTGACTTTTTGTCACACTTAAACGTTTCAGACCATCATTTCAACCTGGTTTTCTGCTCTCATACAGCAAATCCTGAAGTTTGGCCATCAACCCTAACCGCATTTCTGAAAGAGTTTTGTTTCACATCCTCTCCAGGGTACGGTTATCTCTATTGCTGGTAC